CCTTGATTCTACCGCCAACTCGCTCGTATCTAGTCACAAATTACTTAATTACATCAATAAACGCTAAATGAATCAACCCCAATGCATGAAAATGAGTTTTTCAAAGTTTTACCCAAAAAGTCAAAAATCGCCCCCGGGCCCACATGGTCAAAACCCGAGGTTCGAACCAAAACCCGATTACCCATTCCCCCACGAACCCAAATATATGATTTGTTTTGAAATTAAAATTCAAATCAAGGTCCAAATCCCCAATTTTTGAAAAACCTAGGTTCTACCCAAAACACCCAATTTTCCCCATGAAAATCTTTGATTTTAAGTTGAAATCACATTAAAAGATGTTAATGATTGAAGGAAACTAGTTAAAAGCGACTTACAATTGATTTGGAGAAGAAAAGTTGTTTGAAAAATCGCCTCTTATATTTTTGGGGTTTTGAAAAATGAAAAATAACTGAAAGGTCCGTTTAAATATACTCCTCTCAGACCCTTCCGCGGACCGCATAAAAAATACTGCGACCACGGAGCTTTACCACGGACCGCGAGAAATCGAGCATGACCGTGAAGGCTTGGCCTTGCTCACCGCAGACCGCACAAATCCCACCGCGGTCGCGGAGTCCCCACCGTGGCCGCGAAGCTTCCACCGCGGACCGCGACACCTCGCTTCAGAGACCTGCAATTTCTCTGAATCTGCAACTTCTTCCTAAGTGTAAAAACATTCTGAAACTCACCCGAGCCCTCGGGGCTCCAAACCAAGTGCCATACTAACTCAAAAACATCATATGGACTTAGTCGTGTAATCAAATCATCAAAATGACCTCATGAACATCAAATTAAATCTCGAAATCAATGAAATTTTCTCAAAACTTCTTTAAACACAAATTTTGCAATTTAAGTCCGAATCACGTCATATGACATCCGTTTTTTACCAAATTCCACAAAAATGTCTTAAATCATATATAAGACCTGTACCGGGTACCGAAACCAAAATACGGGCCCGATACCATCATGTTCTAATCAAATTTCATTTCAAATTTCTTTAAACAATTCCAGAAAACAAGTTCCTTTAAAAATTCATTTCTCGGGCTTGGGACCTCGGAATTCGATTCCGGGCATACGCCCGAGTCTCATATTTTCCTACGGGCCCTCCGGGACCATCAAATCATGGGTCCGGGTCCATTTACCCAAAACATTCACCGGAGTCAAATTAGCTCATTTTATAAACAAAACTTATCGTTTTTCACAGATTATCATATTTAAGCTTTCCGGCTACGTACCCGGACTGTACATGCAAATCGAGGTGGATTTAAATGAGGTTTTCAAGGCCTCAGAACACAGAAATTTTGTTTTACAGTTTTTCCCGAACCCCAATACGAGGGTTCCTCGCTTTAACTAATATTCATTATGGTCACGTTCCTGCTCCGTTTGACTTACTGGGAAATCGAGGTGTTCGGTGGGTCCGATTTTACCCATATACAAATAGTCCCCTCGTTTCTCAGGGAGTAGGCTTGCCGAAATAATGGGAAATGACAGATGACTCCAGCTCCTTCCTTTGTACATTACGACGAGGGAGCCAAAACGTCCCATCAACTGCATCATTCTAACTTCGGACACATGTCGCTAACCGCCAGGTTATCTCCGAATGCGAAGCGTCGGCTATTTCCCTATAAAATCTTCCTCCTTTTGTCCTTTTTCTACTTTTAAACCAAATCACTACCTTCGAGCTTTCCAGCCGTCATCAAACCTTCTGCAAACCTTTATATCTTCATCCTTGTTCTTCAATTTGCCATAACAATCTCCAGATTTCTGCCCAATTTTCTTCAAATCTTCATACTTTGTTCTTCATCTTCAAAACCAATTTTTCTAAAACTTTGCGTTCATTTCTTAGATTTTCAAACACTCCCCCTAGATGACAATGGCTAAAACATCAAAACCATTCCTCAACAAGTTGCCTCTTCATCTTCTCAACCGGCCACTGGTACTGAGGTGGTTGCCCCTGAGGTGGTTGCCCTCAAAACGACTTCCCCTGTTGTGGCTGCTAATGAATCGGCCGTCGAGCCTCCCTCGTCGGCATTCATTCCTGGGGCTGCTCCATTGTAGATGATTTCAAAGTCGAGAAGCCCTTGCGTAAATAGGACTGGGATGAAGAAGTTTCGAGGTGCATATGTTCTGTGACTAAAGATGTTCTTCCCATAGTTCGTAAGGACTGCAATTGGGAAGGCAAAAATGCATTGGTGCCCGGGCCGAGGATGCCATAACTACCCACGTGGAGGGGTACTTAAGTGTTTACACAAACCCCTTCACACTGGGCCCGATAGACCTGATCATTCTAGACTTTTACAAGAGGCATGACGTGTGCCTCGGGCAAATCCACCCATTGTTGTGGAGGGTTATGACCCTCCTCCGCTATTTCATGAATAATACCGCATCTCATCGGTTCACGATCAACCATCTGCTTTGATTATACAGTCCCCAGATATTCCAAGGGGGACTAATCAAAATTACTCGCCGGGCCAGCAAGGCCCTGCTTCTCCAATATCGACGAAGAACAAAATCGGGGCTGGCAGGAACTCTTTGTCCGAGTGAAAACCGAGGATTTGATCCCCCTAGAATACATTCCATTCTCCAAGAAATCGAATGCGTCTCGTAAGTACAATTCCCTCGTAAAACATCAAAAATTCTTCTTCTTTCATTTTTATCTTCTCATTCATGCTTGTGGCTATGCAGCTGTCGCCCGGTTCCAAATGTTGTCCCTCTACTAAAGGAGTGGATCGAGGGAATCTGTACTCAGATGTCATACTTCGAGCGCATATGGTGCAGACTCTCGAAAGGCCGATGGGAGGCCCGTTCTCATGGTAAGGCCTCTTTCCGAGTAGCCAACACTATGCCTCCACCTTTCATTATACTAACTCTTTTTCCCTCTTCGTTATTGCATGTTTGCCTAAGACCACCGAACTTAGGCCTTCAGAAGGGGATGAAGATGTGCCCCCATCCGTTTATCCATTCGTTGTTGTTGCGGAGCAAAAAAAAGAAAAGGAAGGGTAAACCCTCGGGCTCCCCAGGCTCTAAGGTGAATAAGCGGGTGCTCCGCACGCCCAAGAGGGGCTCTAGTTCCCAGGTGCTGGACTCTGACTCCTTCCTCTGACTTAGGGACGAGCCGGAGGATGAATCTATTTTTGTAACTCATTGGGACTGGGATGCATCTGAGGAGGAGACTCGTGAGATCGACCCCTTTCAAACTCAAAAGATTGACATGGATACCTGGGGTGAAACTTCCCAGGATGCCGGTTCTACTCCAAAGGAAGCACCCGAGGTAATTGAGATATCTAGGATGCCCCTATACTGAGTCTATGCTCGAGGAGGCCCAAGCAAGAAAGGAGAAATCTAACAAGGGGGCCAAGGTGCGGAAGATCCCCTTCACTCCTTTTACGACGGAGTGGATTCGTCCGTTTTGGAAGACTTCTCCGGGTCGGGCTACTTGTAAGTTCCGAAGAAAGACACTTTATCGGAAGCTGGCGGGCCGAGCTCGAGCTCGAATTTGGTTAATCAGTTCCCCGTTCCGAGCGTGGATCCCGATCGCAAGAGGTCGATCATACTGACCGTCCCGGAGGATGCTCAGGTTTTGTCAACTCGTGTGGGGGTATCTAGCTATCTCCAATGCCTGGTGAACGAGGAGGACCAGGCAAAAATGCATGCGGTAAACGTGCCATGCCTTTTCAATGAGGCGCAACAGGCACTGAACAGGGTAAGGTAAGACATTGTTTCCTTCCATCTACCTTTAGTTATCAGTGTTTGATGTTTCTCACGCTTACTTTGCCTTTTTGCAGGCCTCGGTACTTCTCTATGAGAGCTTCCTTCGGCACTGGGTTGGGGTCAATCAACTTGAGCTTGAGATTAAGGAGCTTGCCCAAAAAAGGGACATGTACAATCTTCTTAGCGAGCAGCAAGAGGGGGTCGCCAAAAGCCTCCAGGCCGAGCTGGATGCAGCTCAGAAAGAGGCATCGACCTTAAGGCAGGAGCACGCCGACTTGGTGGAAAAGGTAAAGGTTTTCGAAGATAGAAACGAAGGTCCGGTTGCAAAGGCTAACAACAATACTTCTCAGGTCCAGCAGAAGATCGACCAGATCGACCAGCTCTGCAAGGAGATGGATGAGATCTAAGTTATGCCTGACTAGTGGAAAAGCAATATGGACTTGCTGGCCTCGGAGAAGGAGACCGCCCAGACCAAGCTGTCTTCGGTGGAAGTTCGGCTTTGGGTGGCGAAGGAGAAAGACGATACACAGGCTTAGCAAAATGAGGACCTCCAAGCACGACTGGGATCGACCATCGCTAAACGGGATGCCCTTGGCAAGGAACTTGAAACAATGAGGTCTAGGTTAGAAGCAACCTCGATTGATGTTGACGAGATGGTGGCCCAATATAAGGCCGATGTTGAAGCAGCTGAGGCCCGCTTGAAGACTACTGCTGAGTATGTAAGGCGGCTATCCCGAGGGGAGACCCTTGAAGAAATACATGCCCGAGGCTTCGGCCTATCTGCCGAGATCGAAGAGGCAAAAAGACTCGAAGTCGAGGCGAAAAGGCTAGCTGAATCCCGAGGTGAAGAGGGCTCTGAAGAATCCGAAGGCCCCGACGGTTCTGGTGACGAGTCGGGTCCTGGTGAAGACCAAGCAGAGATGCCTTAGGATTTTTTTTGTTTTATTTTTGTATCTTGTACATGTGCTAGAAGGGTATTGCCCGCGCCAGCATGGGCCAATATCATGATAGTTGAAACTATAATTTTTGATCAACTTTATTTTAATATGAATCTGCAGATTATAAAAATGTATGCATCTAAATTAATATCAAATTAGATATTGAGTAAAATTTTAAGATAACAATATAGAAATTGTCCGAAAAGATTATAACACTCTAATATCAATTATGCTTCGGGCATTCGTAGACCTCTCTCCCTTTCGTAAGCTCCACAAAAAAATAGGAGCTGCCTTGTCGCTTCCTAACGATAAATGTTAGGGGAATAAAGAAAGATGAGTTACTCCAAATGCCGTGGCGTGCAATTTTACATTTCACAACATAGGGAAGCTGAACTTATGTCTCAATTAAGAAGCTCATCAGCACATCTCTTAAACTCTAGATGCTCCAAAATTCATGAATTGCAGCCATTCATATCAACCAATAATTTTTCAAATGGTGCAAATTCTCTGTAATTATTTTTTTCAGAAGAAAAAAGATAGCGAGGAAATGGAACCAAATTGGCAATTCACTGTCAATTCACCCCGCCACAGCAAATGGTCAAGCAAAGGTCTCTAAAAGTTCAAACATCTGGCCTTCTTGGATACTACCCTTCAGAGTATTCTGTGTCCTACCAAAATCATCACCTGAATTTTTTTTCTTGATTTCTAGTCTGGAATAGCAAATATTGATATAGAGCTCCTCTTGGTCGTACTTGACTCCAATGAGCTTGATTGGTCATGGATATAGACGCCATCCTCAGAAGGAAAAAATTTGCCAGGCTGCAAATACTACAAATTAGCGTTTTATGAAACTTTACCTAAAATCCTGCCAATATANAAATTATTTTGTATAAGATAGGTTCCCGCATAAAAACTAGTTGCATATAAAAAGCACAGAAGCAAATGACAGACCAAAGCTTACCTGCTAATAAAAATTTCTTTATTCTTGCATTCAATGGGGCTTCACTCTTTCATGTGGCACATTTCTATGACCTTCTCTTTTGCACAAAATGACGCAACAGTTCTTATACTTCCAAGAGAATTATTCAAAACTTAACTTGCCTCCTCATACATTGTCTGTGAAAAATAAGATTAACCAGTCACGTTATCGTCGAAATATTTTGACAATATTAGAAAATAATACTCCCTCCGTTTCAATTTATGTGAACCTGTTTGACTGGGCACGGAGTTTAAGAAAAAATGAAGACTTTTGAAATTTGTGGTCCTAAACAAAGCAAAAAGGGACCCAGAGTATTTGTGTGGTTATAAAAGCTTCTCATTAAGGGTAGAATTTAAGTTTAGGCTAAATTGTTACCAAATTTAGAAAGGAGTCATTCTTTTTGGAACGAACCAAAAAGGAAATAGGTTCACCTAAACTGGAACAGAGGGAGTAACTAATTAACCATCTAAGTAGTATTAGTAAGCTTTCTAGCTTGGCTAATCTATGATCTAACTGATGTTTGAGAACAACTTTCAAGTTTAAGACTAGGAACACCTTTTAACTTTAGGACTTAATCATCATATGACTCTGATTTCTTGCTGCTGCAAAACTGCCAACATACCGGACCAATCTAAAACTTATATTCTTCTCTCCTTGGTAATTTTAATAGCACCAAATTCTCAATCCCTCATCCATCTATTCCATAAAGTATCCAATTCATATCCCTCCCCAATTTTTTATATGATTATATGGTCATTGCTATTCCTACTAATTCCAGTAATTATGTTATCTTTCTGAGACATTTTAGATGTCTAAATCTATACATTTTGGTGATGCTACACAGTGAGTCTTTTTGACTCTACATATCTCCAGAAAATGGAACTTCAAACAATGAGAAGTTCTTGATCCTAATCAGACAGAGCCATCGAAACATAACAAAACAAAACTGTGCCCTAAAGCCTTGCATGGGGCAGAAAGAAGAAAAAGCAACCAAAAGTTCCAAGAAACTTTGATGATGACATTCATTCTCCAGATAAGTATAAAAAAACACACACCTGCATAGAAAATTGTGAGTAGTCCTTTCTCCAACAATGGTGTCATTACTTTAACCAATCAAAACCACGAATATAACAAGAGCTGAATATCTAAACTACAAAGAGACTCCCAACTAAACATAGATTTTCCACTATACAGTCAAACTGCTGATCCTCATATAGAATTTCCATTAAACAAAGCATAAGAACACCACAAAAAACGATACTGTTCAAACGAATGAAAAGGATGATCCTAAGAAGAACATTACCAAGCACACCGCACGTAGAAATAGACTTGCAAAAAGAATTCAAATAGGGCATGCTCTTATGCTGTGAAGCATGAATTAGGACTATGAAAACTACTTTTTAGATATTTCTTTAACTATCTTGAAACATGATTAATTTAGCAGAGCGTAAGAGAAATATAAAAACCTTGATGTGAAACAAAGAAAGTACCTAGAAACAGAGCGAGCAGGGCAAAAAAAACCTGGAGCGCGAGAGAGACGCAAAGCGATGAGAGTATTTACCCCGAGGAGACACTGCCGAATGACAGTTAGTAAACATGCTAAATCTTTTGAAGGTGATAGATAAGAGAGTCAGAAACTAAACTTTCTGCTCTGGCTGCTATAGCTCCGTCGAGGGCTCTTGCTTCTTGAGTAACTTCTGCCTCTTGAATAATTTGGACTTGGGCTCCTGGAATAACTACGTCACTTATTATACTCCTCCACCTAAAGAGTAGATAACTGAGTTAAATTAATGCATAAACAAAGCACTGGATCTAAGATTTCTACTACTGACAGAGAATAGACCCTAATATACGCTTGAGAGAGCTGATTGCGAAAGAGAGAGTCATCAAGTTTCCTTATCTCGAAAAGAATGAAACAAAAAAAGAGATAAATGAGGAGACTGACAAAAAAGCAAGGAATTAATTAAACCAGAAAACCATTTTTATTCCAGAGGAGAAGAAGAGATGCTAATGGTTTATATAAATCTTCCATGGAATTAATGGAGAACACCTCAGATATTTATGACCTCTTAGCTTGATACATAGACATTAGAAAGAAAATAACCTTACTATCATCACACTTATGTTATATTTATATATATATATATATATATATATATATATATATATAAAACATCTTTCATGGAACTAATGCACAACACTTTAATTATCTATCACTCCTTTTAAGAGTAATGCTAGGAGTATAGACATCACTCCAATATCAGTTAATTTTCCTAAAAGTTCAGTAAAAATAGTTGTCAGTGATGTTTTACTTTCAGAATTCCAATTATGTATAATGTGTTTTCCTTGCAGAGGACTACCCTTATAATTTTTCATGCCCAAATTATAGCCGATAAGAACATCACAAGGTAGAACCGATTATGTCTGTGAAGCAAATTAAAATGATTATGACAAATATAATTGGTTATTACATCCTTCGACGTACCTATGAGCTTACGTAGGACCAATAATTTAACGCCAGAAAATATAAGAGTAAGACAATGTGATAGAACAAGTTTTGTATTGCCTCTAAGTATCCATATAGGAAAAGAATTACTATCCAGCAGCCTCAATGTGCTTTGTGTGAAGAACTCTAGACTTAACTTAGCACAACCCTTGGATGGTTTTCTAACTGAGTCATCTGTTGGTTTACACTATAAAAAAATAAGCACATATGTAACGGCACAATAAATATTAACAAACAAATGAATAATCACAATTTATTGCAAACAGGGTAAGTCTATTTCAGTTCTACAAGAATAGATGGCTTTTCTTTCTTATTTACATGACATTAGAATAGTGGTAGTCCAAATGGTAGATAGTGTAATCAAGTTGATATGTGGATATTTGAAAATTATCTCTTGATTGTCAAATCTACTGCAAATCACTGTTAAACTCTTATCACCAATTTCATTATTCTTTTTCCACAAAGCTATTAACAAATCCATCAACATTAATGTTAGTAGATTTTAACCAGCAAAGATTACTTTAGAGAACTTCCACAAGCAAGCTACAATCAGAAACACTCACCAAACAAACCAAACATGATAAACAAAAATAATATAGACGGGTTGAAGTCACCGGAAGCTAGAACAAAGAGTCTTAATCCCCATAATAGATTGCCAGTTGCAATGGAGTGGATGTTTGAGGAAGATCTCGAGTGGAATTATTTTGCTGATTCATTTTCCTCTTGGTTGCCACATGCACTGCCCCAGAGATTCAGATCATATTTCAAAAGAAGAGAAAGAATAAACACTTCAAAGTCAGATTAAAAAGCAACATTCATAGAGATCAAGAGAAAAAAAACAAGATTTGGTCAATATTTGGGAGTATGGTTGGAGCTTGAAGATGGGAAAAGGATGAAAGAAAGAAATAGAGAAATAAGGTGCAGTTGCTACGAAAATAAAGGAAGGAAGATGCGATGGCTGCGGAAATAAAGGCCATGTAAGAAAGCGCTATCAACTAACACGTGCAATAACTAAAATACCCTTGATATGAAATTTATTGACCAAAAACACACACGTCGAAACTTGTGTTTTTCTATATTATAGAAATTTTGTTGATGTCGTTTTTGTTGGGCCTATGTAAAGATATTCCGGAATATATATTTTCCCCCTTTGGCAATTTCAATTGTTTCAGCATATTTTCATAATTTTTATTTTCGAAAATAATTCTAATACCTTAGCATAAGATCTAATGTAATAACCAGTCATTTGTTTTTCGGAGGTTCAAACAGGACCCGACCTCGATGCAATTTCTTATCTGCTCGAATCTTTGAAAACTCGGAGTGATCGGGAGTTTTCAAAAATGCTTAAGTATTCTTAGACGATGTTTTTGCCGAGGGTAACCTTTTGGTAAGTTTTGAATTTTTATTGAAGGCCTTATGTTTTGGAAACGGGCTTCAGACGTCTCCGAACCATTTTTTATCGTGGCTGTAGCCACTTGGGTTTAGGCGCTACCTAATATGCTTTGTGCCCCGAGGATTTGATAGCCCGAGATGTCCAAGTTTATTTCGGACAACAGTCCCCAAGCAGGAGCAGCCCTTGGGCTCGATAGTCCCCGAATAGAAGTAGCCCTTAGGCTCGGATGGGGGTAGCATTTGGGCTTGATAGTCCCCGAACAGGGATAACCCTTAGGCTCGATGCTTTAAAAGTCAGAAATATATAATAGCAAGGTGGGAAATTTTTTTCACTTCTGTGTGTAAAGTACATGATTGAAAGAGTATAAAGCTTGGATTACGACTACGGTGGGCTATGTGGGCACGATTCTTTTGACCGTTTGGCCCTTTTAATAAATCTTAACCACCGGTCCTAAGCTGTTTAATTATAAAGTTCCCTTCTTATCTTGATAAGAAGTCCAAACCGAGGGTGACGACCCCCAGTATTCGAGGTCGATCTTGTGAGGGCTCGGATACTGTTGATGCGACCATTGACTCCGATTATAAACCAGTCTTCAATTCTAAGTTAGCAGGATTTACTGTTGCCTTGTTAAAACCTTGCTGGAAAACTCATTTGGGACAAAATCGGTTCAGGAGAAAAAGAATACAACACGTGCTTTTAGACCTAATAGTCATGCTCCTCTTTGGTTGTTGCCTGCAAGTGTTAGTTCGGTTCGTATTGTTATAAAAAGGTGAATGAGGTCGTACCTTAGCAGCATTAACGCTTTAAGTGTGTCACATTCCAATTATTCGGTAGTTGTGCACCGTTTCCTGCTTCTAGTTTGTATGAACCTTTGTCGGTAATCCCGACGACTCGATATGGTCCTTCCCAATTTGGATCCATCTTTCCTTCGTTTGGGTTCCGGGTGTGCAGTGTTACTTTTCTTAATACGAGGTCTCTAATATTGAAGTATTGGAGGTTGGCTCTTCGGTTATAGTTCCTTTCTATCCGCTGCTTCTGGGCGGCCAACCGGACTAGGGAGACCTCGTGCCTCTCGTTTAATAGTTCTAGGCTCGTGTTTATGGCTTCACCGTTTGATTCTTCGGTCGCATATCGGAACTTGAGGCTCGGTTCCCCCACTTCGACCAGTATTAGTGCTTCGTCACCATAGACCAACGATCACGGGGTGGCCCCGATACTAGATTTTGAGGTTGTATGGTATGCCTACATGACTTCGGGCAGAATTTCCTTCAATTTCCCTTTGGCATCGATCAACCTTTTCTTCATGGTTTGAAGTATGGTCTTGTTTGTAGATTTCGCTTGTCCGTTTCCACTAGGGTGGTAGGGTGTGGATAGAATCTGTTGGATCTTGTGGTCTTTGAAAAACTTGCTTACCTTACCGCTGATGAACTGCTTCCCGTTATCACACATGATCTCGATCGGTATCCTGAACCGACATATTATATGGTCCCAAATAAAATCGATGACTTCTTTCTCAGACTTTCTCGAACGCTTGAGCTTTGACCCATTTAGAAAAATAGTCAGTCATAAAAAATATGAATTGAGCCTTACCAGGTGCCCATGGTAGGGGACCGACAATGTCCATTCCCCATTTCATGAACGACTAAGGTAATGAGACCGAGTGTAGTAGTTCTCCAGGTTGATGGATCATCAGAGCATGTCTCTAACAACCGTCGCATTTTCGTTTAAAGTTCCTTGTGTCTTTGTCCATATTGATCTAGTAATAGTTCATTATCTTCCAAACCAACGATTCTGCTCCTGAATGGTTTCCGCAGGTGCCTTGTGAACTTCTCTCAAGATGTATTCGGTGTCTCCTGCAAGTAGACAGCAAGTGGGCCATCTTCTTCTGTACAAAGTACCCTCGGACAAGCTAAACCTAGCCTCCATTGTGTGCAAAGCTCTCGACTCTTTAGGATATGAGGGTAAATTCCTAGTCTTCAAGTAGTCTATATACTTATTTATTCAGTCCCAATTCAAACTTGTTGAGTTTATTTCGGTGTGGCCTTCTTCCACTACTGATTTCATGAGCTGTACGACCGTTCCTGAGCTGAATTCGTCATCATCAACCGATGACCCCAGGTTAGGTAGAGCATCAGGTTTGCTATTTTGATCCCGAGGTACGTGTTGTAAGGTCCATTCTTTGAATTGATGCAGCATTACTTGTAATTTGTCTAAGCACCTTCTCATTCATTCCTCTTTTACTTCGAATGTCCCATTGACTTGATTTACCACAAGAATGGAGTCGCACTTAGCTTCGACCACTTCGGCCCCCGGCTTTTGGCCAATTGAAGACCTGCAATCATGACCTCATATTCGGCCTCATTGTTAGTCAATTTCACAGTTCTTATAGATTGACTAACTACGTTACTTGTTGGAGGCTTTAACATGATGCCTTGTTTGGTCCCCTTTGTGTTTGAGACACAGTCTAAAAAGAGGGTCCAGATTCCCGAGGAAGTCCCCGAGGTTAACAATAATTCCCGTTCGACTTCGGGTATTAAGGCTAGTGTGAAGTCATCCATGAAGTCTGCCAAAATTTGAGATTTGATAGTGGTTCGGGGTCGATATTCGATATCTTACCCGCTAATCTCTACGGCCTATTTGGCCAACTGGCTCAAAAGCTCGGGTTTGTACATTATGTTCCTTAGTGGGTTAGAAGTTACGACGTATATGGGGTGGCATTAAAAATACAGTTTTAACTTCCTGGAGGATCTTAGCAAAGCGAGCGCCAATTTTTCTTAGTGAGGGTACCTTGTTTTGGCCTCGCTCAGAGTTCTACTAACATATTAGTCAGGAAATTAAATACCTTCCTCTTCCCGAACTAAGACTCCACTTACCGCTATCTCAGATACCGCCAAGTACATGTACATCTGCTCGTTCACCTTCGGAGTATGGAGTAGGGGTGGACTCGAGAGGTACCATTTAAGTTCTTCCAAAGCTTGTTGACACTCCGGAGTCCATTAAAAGTTATTCTTCTTCTTAAGTAATGAAAAGAATTGATGGCTCTTATCGTAGGACCTTGATATAAATCGGCCCAAGGCGGCTATGCGTTCGATTAGCCTCTGAACGACCTTGACACTATCTACCACGGTGATATCTTCTATAGCTTTAATTTTATCGGGATTGATCTCGATCCCTCGGTTGGATACCATGAATCCAAGGAACTTTCCGGATCCAACCCCGAATGCGCATATCTTCGGGTTTAGCTTCATATTGTATCTCTTCAATATGTTAAAGGTTTCCTGCAAATGTTTCAAATGGTCCTCTGCTCGCAGGGACTTAACTAACATGTCGCCAATGTAAACTTCCATTGATTTTCCTATTTGTTCTCCGAACATCCGGTTTACTAGGTGTTGATAGGTGGTACCAAAATTTTTTAATCCGAGCGGCATTATGTTATAACAGTAGATGCCGAATTTAGTGATAAAAGAAGTTTTTTCTTAATCGCCTTGGTCTATCCAGATTTTGTTGCACCCAGAATAGGCGCCGAGATAGCTGAGTATCTCGTGCCCGGCTATCCCATCAATCATTCGATCAATGTTAGGCAAAGGAAAAGATTCCTTAGGGCACGCCTTGTTCAAGTTTTTGTAATCAACACACATTCTTAATTTATTTCCCTTTTTAGGTACTACCACTACGTTAGCTAACCAATCCGGGTACCTAACTTCCCGAATGGAACCTATTTTAAGGAGTTTGGGTACCTCGTCTTTGATGAATGCATGCTTGACTTCGGACTAAGGCCTCATCTTCTGTTTAACCGAGTGGAACTTTGGATCCAAGCTCAGCATATGAGTGGTTATTTCTGGCGAGATCCCTATCATATCAAGATGGGACCAAGCAAAACAATCCATGTTAGCTATAAGGAATTCAATGAGTTTTTTCTTGAGCTCGGGAGTTAACTCCGTTCCTAGGTATACCTTCTGATCGGGAAAGTGTTAGATTATATGACTTGCTCTACCTCCCCGACCATTGACTTGGTGGCATCGGAATCATCAGGGTGATGAACGACCTAGGAACTCCGTAATCATCATCCTCGCCTGCTATTTGCTCCTCCAATTTGGTTGGGGCCGGTGTCGGTGATTGCTATTTAGTTTTGGCTAGATCAGTTAGAAATTCCCGGAGGTGTCCGCTATTGAATAATCGGGATACTTCTTCTTTTAGTTGTCGGCAGTCTTCGGTCTTATAGCCATGAGTTCCATGATACTTGCACATCAGATTGAGGTCTCTTTGGGCAGGATCAGACTGTAATGGCCGAGGCCACTTGGTATCTTTAATGTGTTCGATGGAAGATATGATGCTGGTAGCATCGACAGTGAAGTTGTATTCCGATAACCTCGGTGCCTCCCTGGCCCCGAGTGGCCTGTCGAAACCATTTTTGCCCATGAGTCCCAGGCTATTATGACCTCGATCGCTTATTTTTTCATTCCTCACAGGGTTACGTCCGGATTTGCTGCCACTTCGATCCCTGCTAGACGGTTGACACCAATCTCTACT